TTACAAAAAAATCGATTAAGTATTACAAAAAAATCTATCATGGATTACAAAAAAAATAAAAAATAAAAAAATAAAAATCCGTACTCGCCGATTCACTGTACAGACTCGCCGATTCCGTACAGTGAATCGGCGAGTCACTATACAAAATCGTCTGGTTCTCTCTAGAACCGGACGATTCCCGTTTTTTTCGCCGATTCGATCCGTCCATGGCGATTTTCGAGTTGAAACGGGCGAGTCAGGTTTGACTCGGCGTTTTTTTAAACACTGCATTCACATATTAATGTAAAAAAATGAAAATTTTTAATGCATTACCCTCGTTTTTTATTAGATTCCTAAAAAAACAACATTTATAATACTTTTGAATAAATTTTTTGAATTCTTTTTTAATAACAAATCCGACTTATTCTTAAACGTGGATTCACGACCTGGATGAGTTTTTGCCGGATTGCTCGATCCGGGGGCACCGATCCGTGTTTTAAACGACTGACCGTAACACGCATTGCTGACCGTTGCTCTAACAAGCATTTCCACGACTCCCTCTCTCTCTCTCTCTCTCTCTAGAAGAAACGAAAGACGCGCATTTCCGCGACTCTCTCTCTAAAAGGAACGAAAGAGGAAATAAAGCTCTGCGAGTCCAAAGTTTTCATCTGTTAGACATCCGTAGGTTTACTCTTCGCGCGCAGAGAGTTGGGATAATAATGGAGATGGTGAAGCGAAGGTGGCTTTCTACTTCCACTTCCACTTCAACTTCAAATGTCGAACAATTCTCGCTCCCCACCTACGACGACTGTCGCCCCATTGAGACCCATGGTCTTTCTCTCTCTCTCTCTCTCTCTCTCTCTCTCTCTCTGGTATTCTCAATTTCAGTATGTGCTTATAGGTTTTAATATGTATCCGTCCTGAATAATTGCCTTTCCTATTGATTGATTTATAGTTCTTTCATATGTACACATGTTGGTGTTTCCTCTTTCTTTTTGAGTTTTTACCAATTCCTCCTTTATTGTCCAAACCAAACCTAGCTTCTGTAATATTAAAATTTCTGACTCATTTCATGGTTGGTTGAGTTCCCACTTTGTGTCTCCATAAAACCCATTTTGTAGTTTACTAGTTTTTCTTGGTTTATCAGAAATATTTAGTTTTGGGTTTTGTTTGATAACAGAGCAAGAGGAGATTATCAGATCATTTGAGAAGAAACATGAACGACAGAACTCTCTATGGAGGGTAATGAAATGATGACCCTGGAGTTTTTTTTACAGGTTACTATGGTGAAATTAACTTATTGGGAAAACCTTTTTAGGATAAGATATTATTGATATTGGTGGTTTCTTACTTGATAAATGGTTTTTGTTTTAAGGGTGTTTTTGCAGTTCTCCTGCTTTCGTTCGCCATGTTTTACATCTTCTCTCTCTTTCAACAAGCTTTGTATCCATGGGAACTGGTAAGAAATATAATTTAGTTGCATTTTTTATTATTTCCTTGTGTTTTTTAATCTATGTTTCTCTGTCCTTGTTCATCTGGGTAGTTTTGACAGATAAAAGTTGACTGAAGAAAATTATGCTTTAGTCTTCTTGAGCTTGTTCTCGCTTATATTGAATTTCTATCTTGCAATCTTTGGATCATATCTCCTACAAGATGATAGTGGTGACATTGTTGCTTACGATTTTAGAGTTCTTGTAAGGATTCTAGAGAAATAGTTGTTCTCTTCTTTTACAGACATTATCCTTTTTAGCTGATTAACTAGCCCTAAATAGTCAATTTGATTTTAGTGGGTCATGAGTGATTATATTATTCTTAGGGAAAGCAAGGCGTGAATCGCTTACACTGGCTTCTTTAAAATGCAATAAGATGCCTGCGTGCAGTTATGGACGTGGATATGGAGAGTGTGGTTAGAGCTTTGTGCATTTCTCAAAATCCAGGAAACTGCCTGTCTGCCACATTGCTAGATATATAATACATCTTAATACAGAAATATATGTATTCTACACTTTCTTTCTTTGTTTTTTAGATTGGCCTATGCATCCTGCACATTGATACACTTATACAGCACATCATAATGCATAATATTATGTCACAATCATGTGGTGTTTTCTAAAGTTACATAATTTATATCTACCTGCATTCTTAGTATCAAGTATCAGTATCAGCGCTGACATGATAAGAAAAGTATATTAAGCTTTTACAAGTATCCGTGCATCATGGGAAGTGTGTACTCGTACCTGAATTCAAGAGCCACACTCTGTATGAATTATATTCTAACTAGTAACTTGGAAATTTCTATATTTATTACAGTCTAATTTACTGAAATATCTAGATGAATGACAACTGTTGTACATTAAGTTCATGTATAATCGATGACGATGGAGTTAGCCATGAAACTTTCATTCCTTATCAAGCTCTGACGCGATTGTAGAAAGTGGAGAGAATTGTAGCCACTGGTTAAGCATGGATTGTAGAAATTTTCTAAGATTAGGTTCTAGGGCATATGGTGAATGCATTTGGACCAAATGCCAAATGCAATGGACTTTTATTCGTTAACATTTTTTTATGAAAAATGTTCACTTGGTGAATCACAATCGAAAAAGTTCTTGCTGGTCTGTCTTTGAAACTTCTTGTGGCCACTATTGGAGCAAAACCTACCAGCCAAAGAAAAATGAAGCGTTGCTTGTTCTCTCATATATTAAGATGGCAAGTATTGAGCCTTTAGAATCCTCATTTTTGGTTCATTTTCTTAAATGTAAGTAGATGTCATTTTGACATTGGCCTTCTGTTCACGATGGTACTATGTGTATTAGACTGCAACAATGTTGTCCCATGAAGTGTTATTTAGTTGAAATTCTTGGCCTAAACTTTGGTTGTGCTCCACAGCAGTAGAATTTTCTTTAGCCCCCTATTTCCTCCCATAGTCCAACTTGTTATGAAGTTCATGTATTGATCTGTAACTGATGAATATAAAGGTTGACTGTTGTTCCTGCTGATTTGCATAAGGTACTCATGACAACTCTGAATATCATGTGTTCCTACTGGTTTTATTTTTCAAATGAAACATTTATATAAGGAAAATGATGTGGCTGATAGTTTGGTTGATTTGATATCTGGAGTTGTATTCAAGGTCAGTTTTATTTTGTTGTGATCTGTGTCTTGGTGAAAAAGTTATTCAGCATAGAATACAATAGGAATTCATCATACCGTTGTGATATAGTGGCTTTGAGTTTTGAATCAATATCCATGTGTAATTGTTTTCTAGATTTAAGTTCAGCTCCGTACATGACTGGCCATTTGTTGCTTATGCTTTCTTCTAGGACTTTTCTCTAACAGTTTATTCTTTGAATTGAATGAACCAATGAAGATGTTGTGTTTTATGAGAAGTGTTCATGAATCAGCTTGAAGCTTACATTAGTTGAACTCAGCTTTTAAAAACTCAAACTTGTATTGGGATTTGCCTGAGTCCTGAGCCAGGTTCAGTTTGGCCAAGTCTTTAAAAGTTTAACCAAGGAGGGCCAGAAAAAGGTAAGACTCAGGCGTGTCCTGCATATTGGCTAGGGATCCATGATGTTCCCAAGCTGAGTGAACTTGTGCAACTCCTGAGTCAGCTTGGCTAGTTTTTGCACACAGGCTGAAGTCATTAGCTGGTGCAGTGTATTCCATTATGGAAAATTGTGCATACATCTTTTGAGCAAGTGTGGTAATAATCTTAATTGTTCTGATGAGCAGCGGTATCATGCTTATTTCATGGATGAGGTTGGATCATGGATAATCATTCTGGCAGGTATGTTTCTGTAGTTCCAAGATCTTTTTGAGTCTTAGTTAATTAGTCTATAATGTAGAAACACGGTGGACGTAGTTTTGTGTACTTTCATGTGGCAATGTTCGGCAGAGATCTTTAGAACATAGTGATGCTAGAGAACTTGTCTTTTCTCTTATTCCTTTCTTTACTTTTGACTCCTCTCTTTTTTCTCTCCATTTTCTACACTCTTCTTCCCCTAAATCTTTCGACCGCAAACTATCCTCTCTTATCTTTTTGTAATTCAAGGGATATTATAGGTCTTTGCTTTTGTTCTTGTTTCATTTGTACACTTCTGAGCAAGGTTCCAAAAAATGCTAGGTGGCCCCTAGGCGGTTGGTCAGGTGCCCAAGTGCTAGGTGAGCACCTAGAACCTCAAGTGCGCCGAGGTGAAAAATTGTATATAGGTGCTGCTCAAAAGCACATATATGTAGATATTTAGTGAAAAAGTTAAAAACAATGAACAAGTCCATGGTGTATTAGCCTCCACCTATCCAATCCGAACTGAGTATGGCAAACTCCATAGTGACACATGATCACGATCACGATCACAACTAGACTAGATGAAATATAAATGAGAAGTGCACACACAAGCTTTTGAGTTTTTGACATTCGCTTTATTTGACATGCAACTTACCTTTAGACGTATAAAGGTTATGCGTAACTTTCATGCCTAAATTCTTTAGTTTCTCTAGTTTCATAGCATTGTGATTATTCATGAAATTACTATTAAAATGTTTTGAAAGTATGCTTCCTTAAGAATCGAAAAAAGTTAGTCTTGGGTCGAATTTTATTAAAATGAATTGAAAAAGAATAAAAAAATGTACTTAATTCCAATGAAATTGAAACAATGAAGGGTAAGCTTTTGGATGCTTCCTCAAACCTCAGATTCTTTCTATTTGCAGAAATATCAAAATCAGTCAGTTTGGGGCTTAAATTTGAATTTTTAATTTTTATTTTTTTTAACTTTGGAGGGTTTAGAATGGTCCCAATCTTCATTTCTGTAGATTTTGTGGGTCAAAATGACCCAAAGTGCAATTAGGGGCCACTTTAATTACAAACAAATGGGCCTAGTACCTAGGTGCCTGCCCAAGACTAAGCGCTAGGCGCCTGCCTGGACCACCTAGGCAGGTGCCCAGGGAGGGCCGCCCAAGCCTGGGTGTGAGCCCTAAGGACCTTCTAGCGCCTAGGCGCCGGGCATAACATTTTTTTGAACACTGCTTCTGAGCACCCAGTAGTGAGATACTAGCACCTCAGAGTGCCCGCCCCAAATTCGGCGTTGAACGCCTGCCTGGGCCACCTATGCAGGTGCCCAAGGAGGGCCACCTAGGCCTGGGTGTGAGCCTTAAGGTCCTTCTAGCGCCTAGGTGCCGGGCATAACATTTTTTTGAACACCGCTTCTGAGCACCCAGTATGTGGGATACCGGCACTTCAGACCTTGTGGATTTTTGTAAAGGGAAAGTATCCTGTCCACATCATGTGGACGGGTGGAGAGGTGCACAAACACCCTTCCAATGATTGGGATTTCATATAGCCACATCCAATTGCCGAAAATTAGTCTCATATTTGATCTTTTGTTTTTATTTAAAGAAGATATTTATCTGAAGTTTGGAGTGTAGATGTATTTTTATGTATATAACTAAATAACTAAGAAATAACCAAAATGTTCTTAAATTTATTTTGGTCAATATTTTTAATTCAGAATATTTTTTATTATTTGAATCAATCTTATTTGTAAAAATGAAGCTAAAACCAATATTTCAGATTAATATCATTTTTAAATAAAAAATAAAAAATAAAAAACTAGATTCATTACTGGCCCTTGGATGAGCATGGTTCAATCTGAACCATTAAAAGGTGCACATGCACCTTTTAAGCGTCAACATGCTGTGGATGCAATACCCACCCTTTTATAAAACATAAACTATACTTTAATGTATAGACACCTTTTCTTCAAGCACAAAAAAAAAAAATCTTGTCTTTTCCGCCCCAGCTTTATTGCAATATCTTTTAACAAATTATCCCTACTGATCTAAATTATCCATCTACTCATTGCTTTTGCTTCCTTTCTATTGCTTCTCATGTCCCATTCAGTAACTGCAAATGCACCAACCACCCCCTGTCCCCCACTTTTTTTTTTGGCAGCGATTGATGCTTATTATCATCACAAATATCTGATTTCCTTGGGTCTTAATCACTATCTTTCTGTCTTTTTGCTTTTTCTGCTGACATATCATATGTTTGACAAGAAAAGCTTATATTGATCAAATGTAGTGGGGCCTTTTTCTTTTTAATTGTTTGGAATTTAGTTGTTCCTTGAAGCAAGAGTTCTAGTAGCTTCGACATCATTTCTTGGATTTTAAGATTTGGATAGGGTATGTTACTTTGTATCATGTTTATGTATTTATAAACTCCAAGATATTTTCTGTGTTGAACCTTCTAAATGTTGTCTCATAAGGCTCATCTATCCTATTTGTTCATCATTTTTTATTATTGGTGGTTTGTTTATTTATCTTTTTTGCTATCACTTATCAGTTTCTTACTCGTTGTTGAGGTTGGTTCTGCTTCTTGTCATTCACTAGTGGTTTTTGACATACTCCAATATTTTACCAGAACAGGACTTGACTATTCCTAGTTTTGGTCAAACAGTACCCTTCTATGATCCAGCTTACGTCGCAATATCGGGAAAGGGCAGAAACAGGGTCTTGCCTCCATGAACCTGTCATTTGTACTTCAGAACTGCCTAGTTTAGAGCGTGGTCTTTGCTAAAATAAAATATACCCTCTTTAGTATTGTATAAGCAAATGACCTGGAACTGTCTCTAAAATTTGTTATTTAGAGCAAAATTCTGCATATACTTCATCATAAGAAAAAGTAATTATAACAGATATGGACCAAAAAATTGAAAAGCTGAATTTAAAATTCTCATTTGGTTGAATTTACTAATTAAAATTCGAAGGGGCACATTTTCGAAAACAAAGAGAATGAAAAATAATCTTTTATTGTGCTGCAATTTGGCGAGGCTATTGGTAGGCTCTGCAATTTGGCGAGGGGGGGAGGGGTGCTTAGGTTTCTCTGCTTCAATGAAGTTCCTCCTATGGTGCAGGTGGTCCTGGAACAAAGTTTACCTTGAACACCATGACATGTATCTTTTTTCACATAATCAACTTATCTTGTGCCATCACTTGATTGGGGAATAGCTTGAATCAGCATTTGGAAGAAAATGCTATTGATCTAGCTCCCCTGCGGCAAAATATTGATAGATCTATGTTGACTAGACCTTATGCAATAATTTGTACCATGGCTGAACCATGCCGATTTGTAGGCTATGCTGAAATTATAAGGGATATTGATAATTGAAACCAAAAAATCGGTGTATCTACATCTCTATTTTTATGAGAGCCATTTTTTTATACGGATTGGGCCATTTAATCTTGGTAATCAAGCTCCTGAAAATTCCAATCAGCAAGCAAATTCTTCTTTGCAGCAGTCAATTATTATTGCTATGCAGCCTTGGTTAAATTATTGAAGCACAATCAGGCAGTAGCAACTCCTCCTCCAGTTGCACATCCCCTAGTATCGCTCTGGATAACACTAACTGCCATACTAATGGCCATAATAGTGTGATTAATGATGCTGAGAATCATGAGCTGAATGTTAATGTTGGCGCCAATCTGTCTTCCTCTCGGCCCTTCCATGACATGGGCACTACTAATAATAGCAGCACTGCATCCAATCATTGGGCTGAGCCTGTCTTCACATACCGATGTTGGTTTCATCCAGAGCATTTTTTCAACTGCAATCAATGCCAAACCCTGACCCCTCTTAGCCTCCTTCCACTCCGGCACTTGTTCCTCTTTGCTGAGCCATACATGTGCGACGTCCAGTAAAAAGTGTGTCAACCTGATGGATTTTCTGTTCAGCACTAGATCTTCTTAAAAATATGCAGAACCTACTAGTGTCAAAGTTGTAAAAATGAATTACGATAGGTTGCATTGATGAATGAAGAGGTAAAGGCACTAAACAAATGCCACACGTTGGAGATTGGATAAGAATGTAGTCGGCTGTAAATGGGTTTATAGAATTAAGTACAAGGGTGAGAGTAGCATGGAAGTATGGAACACTTCAGTGATTGCTTGGTAGCAAAAGGATATACTCAATAAGAAGGCTTGGATTATAATGAAACATTTAGGCCTGTTGTCAGAATTGGCACCACTCCAATTGGTTTCTCCTTAACCCTCACTTGTGGTTGGGACCTTCGGCAGCTTTATAAATGTCTTTCTTCATGGTGATATGAAGGAAGAAGTCTGTATGGAACAAACGCTTGGATACAGCATAGGTGCCCCAAAACTCAAAGAATGCCAACTCATTAGGCAATCTATAGACTCAAGCAAGCATCTCGAGCATGGTTTGAGAGTTTCTGCAAGGTTATAAGCTCACATGGTTATCGGCACAATCAGGTGGATTACTCATTTTTTACCTGTACTGACTGACATGGAATTACGATCTTTATACTTTATGTTGATGATATCGTTATCCCAAGAAATTCATGTGACCATATTCAAACTATTGAGAATCTCATGAATGCCAAATTTTAAATGAAAAACTTGGGTTCCCTAAAGTATTTTCTTAGTATTGAAGTAGACAAAACTGCTAATAGAGTCATTCTCTACCTGCATGAGTATGCTTTAGACTTTCTTGCAGTGGCATGAAAGATTGCACACCTGCCATGGCCACTCCACCAATTGGTGGCAGCCTCTTATATACTCGAGGAGATATTTCTTCAGATCTTCTCAGTATTGCTGCCTATTCTACTGGTGATTTGGGCTGGAGATCCAGAATTTCGTTGCTTCATAACTGGCTATTGCATCCTTTGGGGACAGAATCTGGTTTCATGGAGTAGTATAAAGCAACAAATGATGGATAGATTGAACACAGAAGCAGAGTACTGATTTATGTAGCGGTTACTGCTGAAGTATCTTGGATTCGGCATCTGCTGACTTCCTTCGGCCAGAACATTTCTCTTAGAGCTACTCAATATTTCTCTCTAGTCTATTATGGAAGATATCGAAATAGATTCACAATTCACAAGAGAAAAGATTGAAGATCAAGAAACTGTGGCAAAGTTCATTGGCACTGAAAATCAAGTTGTGGACACTCACATGGAATCGACATTGGTTTTTTAAAGCTGAGCTATGCATGGTTTGAACCATGGCACAGCTTGCAACGGGCTATTAGCATTGTTATGCATTGTCCTTGAATGTAATATTCAGTATTCTGATACCTAATATCTATGTAATGTCCCTCATTATAATTTCTCATGTACTTAACGGTATAAGGGTCGATTGCTCTTGACCCTAACACTTATATATGTCAATGAATATGGGTCTCCACATCAATTGAGTAGAAGAACCCAACCACCTGGTCTTCCCTGCCACTCTTCCTCCTCTCCTTCTCTTCTTCCCTTCTTGATAAAGTTTCACACTCTTTTTCTTTCCGCATCATTTTTTGGAACTTAATGTAGCCCCTCATTTTTCTACCGCATATTTTAATGAGCCATTCTATAATATTTTCTGAAAAAAAAACACAATTTTTTTAATTGGAAAGAGCATAATTATTCTTTTGATGATCAATGCCAGAGAATTCTTTCCGTGATTCTATCTTTCTGTCCTTGAGTTTCTTGTTTTGTCTTGAGACATTTCAAATGGATAATTATTGTTCTTGTAGTTTGCTCACCATAATAATGTACGTAATATGCATAACTGAGGAAGTAGGGTTTCCAATATGAGCTATATAATCGTCTCCCTCCATAGCACCAATGCTAATTAATACATGGTTTGAATCAGTAATCAACATGTTTCAGATATTTTGAAGTTTGCCAGTCTGTTTGTCATTGGGGTTTGCAAGTCTATGATTCTATCGAAGTGTAAATGCTTCTTTTGTGAAAATGTGATTTCTTTGTGTTGTCGTCAAATGTTTACTTTTGTAAAATTCGTCATATTTGTGCAACGCAATGCTGAATGCTGCATTTTCATCTGTATCTTACTGCTTTTAGGACGATTTTCCATTTTATATTCAAGGCATTAGCATGCAGACATAATTGGCTGTTCTAGGCTAAAAGTAAAATTCCATACATTGTAACATCGATGGTTTGTAACATGGCCCCATGGATTTTATGTTGAGAAGCATTTTTAAAAAGATTTATTTTTGATTTATCTTTTAGTTTAGGAGGGAGAAGGAAAACTGATCTGCTTAATAGGTTTCCTTTCTTGGAGGAAATCCTTCTTTATACATGTGACTTTCTTGAAGCATGTGAAAGATTCTTTCCATATACATTTGTATTAGAACTCTCGGATGCAAAAATATTTGTTTGCACTAAATATTTCTGCTGTCTTTTTGCAAAAATACCTATGTTTTATTTATGTTTAGATTTGGCGGAAGGAAGACTGATCTGAATTAGCAGATTCTCTTTCTTGAGAGGGAATTCTTTCATATACATATGATTTTCTTGAAGCATTTGAAAGACACTTTCAACATAATTTTCTGATAGAACTCTTGAAAGCAAAAATAATTATTTGCTCAAAATTTGTGATAGAATGCATGGGCTTCATGAGAAGGATTTGATGCATGTTGTCAACTTTATTCTTCTGTGGATTTGTATGGTTATGTATTGAAGCTCCTTTGAATAACTGTAGCAATTAATGTATGGTACAGATATGTCGGCAGTTGTGGCTTGCTTGATGGCAGTTAAGGGACTGCTGAAGTCAGATTCCCATCGGCATTGGATCTGGCACCCATGTTTAGTTGGACTTGGAATATCCACCTTTTGGTTTTATCACATGCTAAGGTACTTATATTTTCTCATCTCTAGTTGCTTTACCATTGTTGGTACATATTTATTCTGCATAGTTTGAGAGCAATTGTGGACCTTGAAGCTAGGTTTAGCTTGTGCCACTGATCCCCCATTTACTTGGGTTTCCTCTCAAAATGCATATGATTATGTCATTGTAGAGGGTAACATCGACGATGGTTCTACCCTCTATTGACTGCTTTAGTTTTACTCAGTAAATTCAAAGATGTACGGATGATATAGATGAAAAATAATTCACAAAAAAATGAGATAAAGTTGTTCACGAGTCCTTTCAAATTTGTTCCTGCCCCCTCTATCAAAATACTAACTTATATTTGATGTAATGCGGAATATCTCTATCCCTCTCTCTCTCCT